TAGACATGTTAAACTGAAATTGCTTAACCACAGAAACCCCAGCAACAGACAGAGCCCATACAAACCTTTGCTTTCCTATTCAAAGAATTGTTAACCAGCTTTCCACATGTTCAAACAAAACAGTTGGTTCTTTACCTGGGCCCTGTGTGAATGGCCAAAATATTAACTCTTGGGCTATTTTTACCATTCTTTGGGGAAAAGAAGGTGTAATATATAGTGTTAACATAAAATTGGAGTCTGCTGCAAATGGATTCACATTAATTTCTGGAGATCTTTTATGAGAATTTCTACTCCTGGTATGAATCTCTTCAAACAGAGCAACCCACATACATATGTGTGCACACTGCTTCTCTTTCAGGTGTGTTTTTGCCATCTGGATACACAACTCTTGCTCACTGCTGGCCAGTAGACATGCTGGCACATGATCAAGGTAAAACTGTTCCTCTACTGCTCATAGCAATTGCAATTTCTTGTCTTGGCCTTCTCATTTCAAGAGCCAGGGGTGTGTGTGTCATAGGAATCTTTGGTTAGGACTAATCCTTATTTGATTTTCAGGATGACAACAGACAAACTGGAGAGACAGCAGAAAAGTGTAAGGCAGTGCCTTTGGAGAAAGTGTTTAGAATGCACACAAATCCATAGGTAAAATAAGGGTAGGATGATGGCAAATGTATGGAAGACACCTCTTCTCTGCCACTTATTTGCACACATACAGCCTGATTTCAGGTACTGCATTTTAAATTGTACTTGTAAGTGTTCAGAAATGAGTAGGATGTTTAGCTCCTGTTTCCTGTCAGCTCATTTCTCACTCAGAAAATTACTGTGGATGAGGAAACAAAGCAAGTTATTGCACAGAACTGCCCTCGCCTTCAGCTGCAGCCCCATTTGCATGTGTGCCAAGCGGCTTGAGGAAAATGTTCTCCAAGGTTTCCTGCTGTGAGCAGTAGGCTCAGCATCTCAACTGGCCTCTGCATTTTGATGACTCTGTTATAGGAAGCTTTTTCTCCTGACAGACTTTGAACACACATAAAGCTCAGTTTCCGTCTCAAGTTCCTGCATCAGCCCAGAATTAAATTGGGAGAGGTAGGTGACCAAGCATGTCTGTGTGTTTAAAAGTGTTGCTTGAAGATCTCACAAAAATGTGAAAGGAAACAAAATATAAACAGGCTTCTGTAATTTCTGAGCAGATTTAATGATGAATGCCAGTAGGCAGGAGTAAAAAAGTACCTTTCTCTCCCAAGACCTTCTACTTAGGCATTATCAACAAGCTAATTGTTGATATGGTACTGAATGCTACCCTGAGTGTGGCTGTTTGGGTGGGAAGTAGTATATGTCACATTTCTACCTTTTCCTCAGCTACTTCCCTCTGCATAAATTCCTGTTATGAATCTGTCTGCCTGTTAGTTTTTGCTCTCCTTTTGCTAAGCTGAAGAAGGAAAAAATACATGCTGCTGTGGCAAACAACAGACAGGGAGAAAAAAATCAAAGGAGATGAATGAGGCTCCATCACAGTAGGAAATTTAAGAAAAGGTTAGAGATGACATTAAATGGGCATGGTGTGTAGCCTAAAATAATCTTGTAAACTTCAGGGAACCAGGCCAGGTACTCCAGCTTGCCCTGTCTGGTTCTGCTGTCTTCCAATTACTATCTCCCATCAGCCTGTACAGAAAATGTCTCCTGATAGGGATAGAACTTCAAGCTGGATCTCAAAAAACTGGGTGAAACCAAGTGATTCTAGTATGTAACCCTTTAAAGTGTTTCATTCCTGAAGCACATCATCATCTTGGATCCCAGTCTTGACCTTAGCTTGTGCTTATATTATGCTTTAAAATTCCCCTCCATTTGCTTTGGATTGTGGTCCTGACACGTAAGCCTAAATATAAGTGAGTTTGACATGATGTAGGCTAGGGCAAGTAGCTTAGAAATCACTTAAGATTTGGAGAAGAAGCTATTTTTAGTGACTGTAAATTAGAAAGAGAAATATATGACATACTGAAACCCTAGTAATGAAATTGTGCTGCATAACTAAGTTTCCTTCTCAGATAAGTTCTACAACACCATAAACATGCATCATTGGTAATAGCCACTTATAACAGAAGCATCAAGACTAATTTACTTAGAGTGTAATTTCAGTTCTCAAATACTTATTCATTTCACCGTTTACTTGGTTAAAATACAATATTTTATTATGCTTCTTGTTTGATGTTTAATTCAGTCTCTGAGTAGTTGTTTGAATATGGTGGGGGCAGTGATCTCTTTGAAACTGTCAATATGCTCTTTCACCTACTAAATAAGCAAGGAATTAGTTTAACATCCAGATAAGGCTGCTGATTAAACAGAACTGGCATCTTGATCTTTACACCTGCATTTCTGTGCCTGCTGCTAAAATAGCTATAAACAGCTATCTTCCTAAATGAATTTTATTCTAGATCTTTGCCCTCTAATTCATTAGTTTATTTTAAAAGTGTTTGAAAAATTCAGTTTAAACTATATGCAAATCCTTCTAAACTGGGCCCTTTATATACACACATCCCTTTTTTGTGAACAGTACTTTGTTAATGGCTCAATAATTAAGAGAGTTTACATTTTAAAGACTTCAGTTTTTAATTGGCTGAATATTAATCACAGATCACTTTCAGTTCTGTTGTGATATGCAAATGATTGATGTCTCAGCTGCATTTGTTTTCAGGTATCAGTCTAACTGCATAATGCAAAATAACATTCTGCAATTATTTCAATTAGATGCAGTCAGCCTTTGGAGCAAGCTATTTATTTCATTTCAGCAAATGAAGAAAGCAGTTGCTGTTTTCCATTCCCTGGCATTTATTGCCCAGAACTAGCACTCACAACCGGTATGTGTACAGCACATAAACAGTTTTCTAACTGGATCACGTTAGCTATTCGTGGTAAAGGACAAGCAGTTGAACTCCCCTTGCAAGATTTCATTTGGTTAACTGACTCTTCTGCTTCGGAATGCGATGTCACCTTGTTTGAGGGTATTCATTACCATTTTAAAGTGTATTATGAAAGGCAGAGTCAATAGGAGTTGTTAATTAGCAGAATCTGTTTAGCACAAGTGCATAACATTTGAGGATTTTTTTCCATCAGACTGCAACTGTTACCTACGCAGAGAAGGAATTTCACCTAACCACAAAGAATGAGATACACTAATAGCTGCGTTGTCGTAAGAACGGGTCGGGTATGTCTCCTCGCAGCGATTTCTCTCCATAATTGCAATTCACATTAAATGCAGCAAAAGCTACCATCCTGCCCACTCAGTTTCCACCTCTACTTTTGTTTCAAGCCGGGAGGGGAGATCGCCAGAAAAGAGAGGGGGGGAGTCCTCTCTCGCCTTCTCCCTCCTTCCCCCGTTCGGCTCCCGCAGCCGCGCTGCCCTGCGGCTCCCCGGGCGCGGGGGCCGCGCTGGCCCCGTCCCGGCCGCGGGCCGCACTTGTGGCTGCCTCGCCCGCCCATGGCAGCCCCGCGGCTCCCGGCGCGGCCCCGGGGGGCTCCTCCCGCCCCGCACGCCCCGCCCGGGCTCCGCGGGGGCGCAGCGCGACGGCTCCCCGGGAAAGGCACCGGCGGCGCGGCGCCTCCGGGCTGCGGGAGAGGCTCCGGCCGCGGCGATGCGCCGGGATTGCTCCCCCGGAGCGGCGTCTCCCTGCCCGCCGGAGCAGCGCCCGGGCGCTCGGTGCGTGCGTGCATGAGTGTGTGCGGTGTGCGGGTGTGCGTGTGGCGGAGGGGAGGGGGCTCGCTGCGTGCGGGGGGTGGGCGAGAGCAGTGCGATGGGAGCGGGCGCCCGTGTGCAGAGGGATCCTCTCCCCGCATGTGTGCGGGGGACCGCGGGGCAGGGCTCAGCCGGGCGGCTGCTGCATGCGGCGGAGCCCGCGGGGTTCCGCAGCGCCGGGCTTGCCCTCGCTCCGCGCGGCCGGGGGTGCTCGCCCCGGCGGGCGCCCGGCTGCCCCCGCCGCCCGCTGCGTGCGCGGAGCCGCCGGAGCCCGGACCGAGCGGGGAGAGCGGCGGAACGCAGCCCGGCGGAGCCGCGGCGACCCCGGGCGCCGAGGTAGGGACGGTGCCGGGCTGGCCGCGGAGCTGCCGGGAGCATCACCGAGGGCGGCGGGCGCCCGCCGGGCGTGTGAGTGCGGGCGGGGGTGGGGGCACGGCGGGGCCGCCCGTACGTTGGCGTTTTAATTTCTTTTAATTATTCCGGAGGTTTTGTTTTCATTGCTATAACAATTACCGGTGCTGTTTTAAAGACGGCGAGGGATGGGGTGCGGGGAGGCGGGGGTGCACACGACGAGGAGACAGTGGCTCCCTGCCGGAGCCTCTCTGCCATCGCGCTCGCCGCTCCCCGCAGCCGGCCGCCTCCCGGAGCCCTGGCCAGCGGCACCAGGCGCAGCGCTGCCCTTTCCCATCCTTCCCGGGAGAGCGGGCGAGCGGAGCGACCGGGGCCGGGCGGCCCGGAGAACCCGGTGAAGGTGTGGGAGGAACGGGGGGGCAGGATCTGCGCAGTGGGGTTGGGGAAGGGGGTGTGTGGCTCTGCTGCGGGCCGGACTTTGCAAAGGTACCGGGGCGGGGGGGGGGCTGGTGCGTTCAGCGGCGGGAGCGCGGTCGTGCCTTGATGCGAAGGGACGGCGGAGGAGATGCGGGGCTGCTCCGCCCGCTCCCGGCCGGGATGTGCGCGCCCGGCGAGCGCGCCCCTGCCGCCCTCCCCCGCCGGGAGCCAGAGGGCGACGGGGCGCCCACGGCAGAGGGGAGCCGGCACCAGCCGAGCCGGATGCGGCAAAAAATTGCGGTAGTGCCGGCACTGCTGGCCGGGCTCACCGCCCCGCCGCCAGCCCCGCGCAGCGCCCGCAGCCTGCCCGCTCGGCACCGGCCGGGAGCCCGGGGCTGAGGAAGAAGAGGGGACTCGAGCGTGGGCGAGGCAGGGACACGAGAGGACGGCGCCTGCCAGGGGGAGGGAGACGGAGCGGCGGGGGCGCGGGGACACCGGTCCGCCCCTGGGGGCGCGCTCGCCGCGGCCGGGGTCCGGAGCCTGCCGGCTTCGGCAGCCGCTGCTCCGCTTCCCCCTTCTCCCGATAAGCGGCCTCCTTGACCCCTTCGGCCATCCCTTCCTCGCATCCTTCCTTCTCTCATCTGTGCTGTTCCTCTCCCTCTTATTCTTCTGTCCTGCGGTCTTTCCTCATCCCTCCTCTCCCCTCCCTTCCAGGACCCCCGGCACATCCTCTCCTTGTGTCTCCCTCCAGCCCGGTTCTCGGTTCTCCTCCCTCCAGCTGGCTCCTGCTTTCTCCACTTTTCATTCTGGCTCTCTCCTGCCAACTCAGTGGCTTCCTACAGCAGGAAATGAAAGGGACAAGTTGGGAAATGGGGGTAATGGGAAGATGGTATGTGTGTGTGTGTGTGTGTGTGTGTGTGTGTGTGTGTATGTGTGCAATGTATTGATTACTGACTGATTTGTTTAAAAAAGGTGGTGGGGGGGGGAACCCTACCTTATAACTCAGAGGAAATGCTGTGGCTCGTGTTCTTCTGCGTAAAAAATGGCAGTTCAATTGGCCAGACTATATACAAAGGGTTCTTATCAATGCAGGAATAAGGGCAAATTACATAATGTTTTAGGAAAAAAAAATAGTTCTGATTTCAATACTGTCAGCCTGGCAAATTGTGACTTTGTTTTTCCCTTGAAGTCAGTGTATGGTTATTCCTGGGGATGGGGCTGTATGCTTGTGCATGCTTCTTCCATGTCTATGTGCTTCCATTGGTCACCCAGAGCTGATCTTGTTTTGTGAATAGTTGTATTTCTGCAGTCAGTTTACCACTGACTTATTTAAACTAGGTATCAGAAGTGACAGAAACAATGTGTGTGTATGCCTATGTAGCCTTTGAGTGAATATTGTTATCATAGTGATATATCTGTATGTGTTGCTGCTTTAGAAACTTATACTGAGCATTGGCATTGCTTTTTGTATCAGCATCTCCATCCTTTCTATATTGTGCTATCCCATCCCAGGTATTTGGGCATGCATATCATCAGCATTTGTGTTTAATATCCCTGAAATGCACAGCAACATATGAGCAGTGCACAATTGAGGGGAGTAAATATGCATAAAATTGGAATCTCCTTTGGTTATTTTACTTTATTAGTTATGCATGCTTGGCATGTGCAAGAGAAAGAAATACATTTGACAGACCTGAGAGTTATTTATGCTTCTCTAAAGAAATTTACATTCTGTGTTTGAAATCATCCCAGCTCCCATACATTTGTTTGGTTGTTAAAGTCTTTAATGTTATTTTAAATTCAGGTTTTGTAGTTTATCTATAATATTTGGCAAGTACAGTAGCTCAGTGGTATACAATTTCTAACCCAAGTGACGTTTTGGAACAATGTCAACTGAAAAACACTTTCTTTTTCTTTCCTTCTTTCTTTAGATTCTTTCTCTTTGTTCAGGAGCCTAAGGTTGCTTGCTGATCATAAGAAGATGATTCTGTGGCTCTTTCTGGTTCTGTCATCTCCAGTTTCTTCTACAACTGCAGATGCTGATATATCTGTGGAAATTTGCAATGTTTGCTCCTGTGTGTCAGTTGAGAATGTACTCTATGTCAACTGTGAGAAGGTTGCAGTCTACAGACCAAATCAGCTTAAACCACCATGGTCTAATTTTTACCACCTCAACTTTCAAAACAACCTGCTAATTATTCTATATCCAAATTCCTTTCTTAATTTTACACATGCAGTGTCCTTGCAACTGGGTAATAATAAGTTACAGAACATTGAGGGAGGGGCCTTTATGGGTCTTAGTGCATTAAAACAGTTGCACTTGAACAACAACGAATTAAAGATTCTCCGGGCTGACACTTTCCTTGGCATAGAGAACTTGGAGTATCTCCAAGCTGACTACAATTTAATCAAGTTTATTGAACGGGGAGCCTTCAATAAGCTTCACAAGCTGAAAGTCCTGATACTTAATGACAATCTGATTTCATTCCTTCCCGATAATATTTTTCGATTTGCTTCTCTAACCCATCTGGATATACGGGGGAATCGAATACAGAAGCTTCCATACATTGGAGTTCTGGAACACATCGGGCGAATTGTTGAATTGCAGCTGGAAGACAACCCCTGGAATTGTACTTGTGATTTGTTGCCTTTGAAAGCGTGGCTGGAGAACATGCCCTATAACATCTACATTGGAGAGGCTATCTGTGAGACACCCAGTGACTTGTATGGAAGGCTGCTGAAAGAAACCAATAAGCAGGAGCTGTGCTCCATGGGGACAGGGAGTGATTTTGACGTGCGCATCCTGCCTCCCTCGCAGCTGGAGCCCGGTTACAGCACACCCAACGGCCACACCACTCAACCATCAGTGCACAGATTAGTCACAAAGCCACCAAAAACTACAAATCCTTCGAAGATCTCGGGGATAGTAGCAGGCAAAGCGCTGTCCAGTCGCAATCTCAGTCAGATCGTATCTTACCAGACCAGGGTGCCTCCTTTAACTCCTTGTCCGGTTCCTTGTGTTTGCAAAACTCATCCTTCAGATTTGGGATTAAGTGTAAATTGCCAAGAAAGAAATATAGAATCGATGGCTGAACTCGTACCAAAACCTTTAAATGCCAAGAAACTGCATGTAAATGGCAATTATATTAAGGATGTGGATACAACAGATTTCGCTGAGTTTGAGGGGCTGGATTTGCTACATTTAGGCAGCAATCGGATTTCAGTGATCAAAGGAGATGTTTTCCGCAACCTTACAAATTTACGAAGATTGTACCTCAATGGCAATCAGATAGAGCGCCTGAGCCCAGAAATGTTTGCTGGCCTCCACAATTTGCAATATCTGTATTTGGAATACAATGTCATCAAAGAAATCCTAGCAGGCACCTTTGACTTAATGCCAAATTTACAGTTGCTCTACCTGAACAACAATCTTCTGCGAAGTTTGCCAGCTTACATTTTTGCTGGTGCACCACTTGCTAGACTGAATCTGAGGAACAATCACTTCATGTATTTACCTGTAAGTGGTGTTCTTGATCAGCTAAAATCTCTGACACAAATAGATTTGGAAGGTAATCCATGGGACTGCACTTGTGATTTAGTTGCTTTGAAACTGTGGCTTGAAAAGCTAAATGACGGTATTGTGGTGAAGGAATTGAAATGTGAGACACCTGTGCAGTTTGCTAACATAGAACTTAAGTCTCTGAAAAATGAGATTCTCTGTCCTAAACTTTTAAACAAGCCATCTGCTCTATTCACTAGTCCCATGCCTGCTGTTATTTTTACAACACCACCGGGACCAGTCCGGAGTCCTCCTGGCGGCCCAGTTCCATTGTCCATCCTAATCCTGAGCATATTGGTTGTGCTGATTTTAACAGTGTTTGTCGCTTTTTGTCTCCTTGTTTTTGTGCTTCGGCGCAACAAAAAACCGACCATAAAGCACGAAGGGATTGGAAACCAAGAGTGCAGTTCTATGCAACTGCAGCTAAGAAAACACGATCACAAGTCAAACAAAAAAGATGGACTGGGTGCAGAGGCCTTCATTCCTCAAACCATTGAGCAGATGAGCAAAAGTCATACCTGTGGCTTGAAAGAGTCTGAAACGGGCTTCACGTTTGCTGACCCACCCGGGCAAAAAGTCATTCTGAGAAATATGAATGACAAGGAGAAAGATTTATTGCATGTGGATTCCAGAAAAAGACTTAGCACAATCGATGAACTGGATGAGTTATTCCCTGGAAGGGATTCCAATGTATTTATTCAAAATTTTCTTGAAAGTAAAAAGGAATACAACAGCATAGGGGTCAGTGGTTTTGAAATACGTTACCCAGAGAAACTGCAAGACAAAAAAGCCAAGAAATCTCTAATAGGTGGTAATCATAGTAAAATTGTAGTAGAACAAAGAAAAAGTGAATATTTTGAACTAAAAGCTAAACTTCAAGGTTCACCTGACTACCTACAAGTCCTTGAAGAACAAACAGCTTTGAATAAAATATAGGTCATACAATCTTATTGCCTACAGAGGACATTTATTTAATGATGAAAGTGCCTTTTGTTGACTTTTAACTTCCAAATACTATATTATATTGATAGGCATAGAGGCAGGTGTATCCAAGGGTGTCTGATTAACTGTAGCTGTGTATGATTTGTCAAGTAGAGGAGAATTTCCTTAATAGATTTTACTCCATAAAGCTCATGCCCTGTGGAATCCTGTAGGGATACTGCAAACTCTATTGCCAAAGGGATGCTTTATACACGTTACACTGAATTTAACCTCAAGAGGCATATATGTTTTGTATCTTAAATGCAAACCATCGTCTCCTTGTGATTTGTTAGAACAAACACAAGAAACCTGGTACTGATATTTGTACTCCAGCTGGGTCCTTCATCCTGCACGTGGATTTAAGTTGGTGGAACTGGAGTAATCCTTTGATTTGTGGTGTTCTAATGGCACTGTTTAAAGCTTATTTGGAAAGTAACAAGCATGCAAAGAGAGAACATTCAATAGTATGTGTAAATTGGTTACATTTATGGGCTGCATCTTGAAACCACTGGAATTATAATGTTAAATTGTGTTTAAAATATACCATGCATTACATACCTATGAAATAAATCTGACCACTTGAAGCATACATGTCTATACAGAAAATTTAAAAAAAAAAAAGAAAGAAAGAAAACAATTCAACCTGACTTCTGCAGTATTTGTGACATCTGAAGAAAATATTTGATACTTATGCAGAATCTGTTCTAAGACTCATCTCCAATTATAACTAGAGTTCCTTCTCAGTTACGTGAAACTCTTGCAACCCCAAGAGGTTGTCCAAAATTGTCAAAGTGCTTACTGTGTGAGCGTAGCAGAAATTATTTTTGTAATATAATTCATATTTATGAAATACTTTGTATACTACATAGGAAAAAATGTGTACTCCTTAATATGTATTTAATATGCCTGACTTGTTTTCCTGATCACAATGCATTAATCATTCAGTATAAATAAAACCAGAACAATATACCAAACAGCAGCCGGGGATGTAATGTATAGCATCATCCAGAATTAAGTGATCAGATATAATAATAATAATAATGATGATGATAATAATAATAAAATTGTTCTGTACTATTCTTGTGAGATTAGCCTATTACCTTATTTCAGATCTGTTACCAATGGTGCATTTTAAAATAGATTGATTAGTTTTTTAGTATTGTGTCCCAGGCTGTTAATTGCCATCAGTTTTCTTGCTTTTCAGGTCTCTACAGCTTAATCTGAATACTTTTCACAAGCATTTACAGGAATTCATGCTAAGAGGAATATTTTTATTGTACATGCAGAAGTTTTCTGTTCTTATCTCTCTGGCTGCTTTTAGTCAGCAAAACCTGATCAGAACAGTGAACAATATGGCAAATCCTGTTCAAAACCACAGTGCAAAATGGATATAGTGGTCTCAGTTCAGAGGACTGTGTAGCTCATAACTACAGAGTAAAAGCTTACCTTTGTGAAAGCTGAATCTGAACAGCCAGGGAAAAAGGCAGGAGAATGGAAAATCCCCATTGTATATCACTGATAGATGGTACTCTGACATGAGAATGGAGATATATTGGTAAAACATCCTACAGCCAATCTATGTGATGAGATTAACAAAATTTCTTTAATTCAATGAGACCTTCTTTATCTCCTTCGATTTCAGAACCTTTACCCCTCCTGACCTTTTATAATCAATACATTAGTCAATTAAAATAGTAGGATATAAACATGAACGTTTTTCATGAGTTTGAAGCCAGTAAAAATTAGAGCAAAACTCTATAATAATACTGTGGAGAAGGCTGTGTCAGCTATTTCCAATATAAACCTCTAATTTCAGGGCTGTGTGACACTGAGTTGGAATTTTTATTCTGGAATGATACTTGGCAAACAGCCTGCAGTATATTTTTATCAAAATAGACCAAAAGGAAAAAAAAAGCACTGCCTCTTTATTTAAGAGAAAGCAAACAAAACATTTCTCTACTTTCAGACATTTGTTTATGCTCTTTTGGCTTAGAAAGAGGGTTGTTTTATTCTTTTTCTCTATACTGCATAGTATATATATGACTTCAGATAATAAAATTGCGAGAGATAAATTAATGGCTGAGTTTCTTTCAAAAAGATGCATCTATCCATGCACAATAATTAACTTAATTCAGAATGTCATGGGGATTTTGAGGACATGGATACTGCATACACATGCAGTAAAAAGCTCCTGGTTAACCAGTGATGCAGGGCATGGCTGAGGTTTGAATGAGAACGTGTGAGATTATTTAGTGCCTGTGGATTAAGGAGTGTCCATGATGCACTGACCAGGTGGACTCTGCTGGCTCCTTGAGTAGGCTGAGGGTGACAGGTCCCTGGTCTGCTCTGACAGAGCTGTGTGGCTTTGAGGATGGCTCCAAGTTCACTGAGGTTTGCCAAAGCAGAAGGTGTCTGACACACTCAGTGCGTTGTCACTGGCATGTCCTGTATGATCCTCCTGAGAGCAATGTGCTAAAAATATTACAAATTGCAAGTAAGGAAATACTTCTAAGTGATGGTAAAACTGATATGCTTATGACTTGTGTTGCCCTGAGTCCAAAGAACAGAGATAAATGGCCATACCTTCCTAAGCTAAAAAAAAATTAGGGGTTTTTGTTTCATTTTGTGTTGTGAGGTTTTCTGGGGGTGTTCTTTCTGGATTTTTGGTTTGGTTTGGTTTTTTTCTTAATTTGTTTGAGTTTTTGTTTGGTTTTTGGAGTGGTGTCTTCTGTTTGCTGATCTAAAGAGCTGAACCGTTATGCTGTACCATTACACTGGATCAGAATTTTCTGATCACTGAGACCCCAATTCCAGTAAAGCATTTCACCTCAACCTAAATCATGTGCAGATGTATTATTCATGAGATAATAATTAGATACCTGCCCAAGAGTGGGCCTTAGCTAGAGTTTTGTCATTGACTTCAAAACAAGCCAGCTCAGAACCATTGTATATAATCCATAGAGCCCAGTGACTCATCTGGGGTTATGCAGTTGAGTGTAGGTTCACCAGCATCAGTAAAGGTTGCACAATCTGGACCTTCCTGTAGAAATTGTCCCTAAGTGTTTTACAATGTATGGTGCAATATATAGGCATAATAGTGTGAGTGAAGAATGCAGAAGCTGGCAAAACACTATTTTTCTGTGAAATTGTTACTTTGAATGGCAACCTTAGTGTCAGTTTATTTTCTCCATGTTTTGAAACGGTGTATGTGTCTGCACAGAAGTTTTAGTGTGATGTCCATTGAAATCTCTGGTCAGTCTTTCTGAGAAGGTGACTCAGGTGTGGCTTAACAGGTCTGTCTGTTCCTGATATTGGTTTGAGTGGCCATGCTTGTAAAATGGCTGTTAAGACCCATGGACATAAACTAAATCAGTGAAGGTGTTGGCATAATTTGTTGTCTCCATTGTATTATAAAGAAGTTTCCATTTTTAAATGAAATCAATAAAGTGTACTCGTTTCCTTGAAAAAGAAAAAAAAATTGTGCAATTTTATCAGAAAGCAAATACCGCGGTGCAAGAACACAAGAACAGGTGATTTATGTTTTGCATTTAGTGTTCCAGATTGACAATAATGCAACAATCTAGTATAAATATATTTTTAAATGCTTTTTTTTTTTAAAGCCATAATGATGATATAAATTATAAAGGCATGGCCTTGTGAATAATGTTAACAAATGTTTCAGAATCAAGAAAAAACATCCAGAACTTGATGGTGGTATAATATCTATAATATCTTTTGCATGATTTGTATGTTGATATTGTATGAAATGAGCACAGTGAGAATTTTTTTTTTGGTTGCATCCAAAGAGTTAGGAAGGAAATATAACAAGAATGTACTCATAATCACTCTATTTTGAAATAAAGTAAAGAAAACAAAATGTATTGGCTTTACCCTGTTTTGATCATTACTATTTTAGGTTAGTTTATAATTAAGGCAGTTACTTACAACATCCTGTCCAATGTAAAACACAGAAACCTATTGTTTATTAATTTTGTTTGACTTCATCAACATCAAAATACTAGTCAGTGTTGACTTCAAAATTTGTATGAAATATTAATAAAATTGTTTGGTACTATTGTATTTCTGAAACTAGACTTTGTTAAGTGACTGTGATATTCTCTTTTGGATTACTTATATATGGGTGAGAGAGAATCTGTAAAGCAGTAATGGAGTAATGTTTTCTAGGCACCTCAACAATTTGTTCTATTTTAGAAACTTTTTCTCATCTTCTGCTGTCCAACAATATCTTCCTTTACACTCTTATGCAAATAATCCCTCTAATATAATTAATTTTTTTTTCCATTACTACTACTAGCAGAATTTAGTTTTCAGTTGGATTCTCAGTTCTTCAACCCAGAAATGCTTAGAGGAACAATTACATAATCTTAGGGGCATTTGCTTTGATTCTGCTCTCTTCTTATTAGTCATTTTCAATAACAACTTTTCAGAGGAAATTAAAGGTAATTTGTCCTTAGAAAAAGCAAAAAACACCAATCCATCTACCATTTCATTTGGTTAGGCTACTTTTGTAACTGAAAGTTGCAAAGAAACTTTAGGTAGTTTAACTTCCAAATTTATATATTGTAGTTAAAATGGTTTACAAAGCCTTGTAAAAATCTTCATGGCAAGGGAGAAGAGCAGGAACAGAATTACCTTTAGATTAAAATTCCCTGTTGTGCAGGGTTTAACATGCATTGTAATGGCAGTGAATGTGAATCAGAATGGGATATGGGGTGGAAAATCAGGACTTGATACAGATTTTTTCACTTCTACTTGAAGTGTAACATCAGGAACAAACCCACAGCACTAGTTGAGAAAGGCCTAATATAATATTCCACATAATTTCTTTCTAAAGAAAAACTCTAGAATCAAGTATTAATTATTCATGTTTTGATAATAAGTGTGCACTGCTTTTCTGAATGCAGAGGAACTTGAGAGTTTTCTGTTAATATGTTTTGTCATTACTAGTCTTTATTTCCAATTTCAATTCACTCATCCTTATGTATTATGATTGATGCTGTGTTGGAAAACAAAAATAAGAATACTGTTGCTCAGGGACAAACTCTTCTCAAAAATTTACCAATGTAAATCCAGACTGACTGAACAGACTTCAATGGAGTCAAATCCACTGTTAGCCTAGTGAACAAAAAAGCAGAAAGTACAAGATTTATCCATCATTGAAATAAAAATAAGTAATCTTTGACTTGAAATGTAATATAATCTTGCTTTATACTCTGTTGATTTCTCTGGTAAAGTTGTTACTATTTTCAAACGACTGTAGGGAGAGCACAGACCAAGTGCAGTCCTGTGTCTGTTTGATGTCAGTGCAGCTGTGGGCATCCCAGAGCTGTACTATGGGTTCAAAACTATATAAATTTTCTGGTTTATGCATACACTTGGGGTAGATCTCACGTAAAATAGAAATGCTTTCTTAACAATACTATTTACTTTCTCCCTGTAATGGAGCAAAGTTACTCTGCTCTTGTTTTTCATTAAGTAGGGAGTTTATTGCAAATATATTTGTTTTACTGCTAATTTTATTTGTATTCACTAGCAATACTTGTGGTAACTAATTCATTGTCTGAAAGCAGTACATTTCAGTCTGTTGTTTTTAAAACACCAGTCACTGGTAACAGGAAGATACTGAGTTATACTGAATTTCCATTCCCCAAGTAATAATTCCATAAATAATTCCTCAAAAACACAAATAAAGATCAGATAAGAAAAAATAAAGTCCTAGCTGTTACTAAATCTGATTTTTTGTATGTGTGTATGTGAAGGCTTAGCACAATGTACTATAATTCTGATGGGTAACAAGTGATACCTTATTTTTCTTTGGTCTTTGTTTAACCAGAAAACAAAGTGATCTCTAAATGGTTTAGTCATCATTTTGTAACAGTAGAGTAACAAAGAATATTCCTATATTTCCCTCATCCATGAGGATTTCATTTCTTGGTTTAATTTCATACAATTTCCTGGAAGTGTGTGCAGTATAACCTTCCAGAGCATCCTCCCACTCCATGCTCTCATTTCACCTTCAGGGAGCCAGTCTTTTACAGCTGAAGGTTTTTCTAGGCTTGGGTTGATGGCAGTATCCAAAGAGTGGGATTTGCCAGTTCCTAGAAAACAGCTAAAAAAGGCAAACTAAGAGCCTGTCCTGGATGGTTTCTGGGTCATGTCACACGGTGTATGATCCAAAACAGAAATGCAGGAAATGGTTTAAGGTTCTTTGGGGAAGTTTTGTGCTTGGCTTTTGAAGCTGGACAATGTGGCTTTCCATGATTGTAAGCTGTGCAGTGTAAAGGAAATGAGATGCAGCCAATTGAATCCTGACAAGCTGTGGCTAAATCTTGCAGGCTCTGCACCCTCTTACCTGAACTAGGCTTTGCTGTCACTGTTCACTGAAAAGTCTTGCAGAGATTACTCAGGTTAAACCAGATGTGCTCCAGATTTCTCAGGGGTGATTTAGCTGGGATGTGGATACATTTTTGTGCACACTGGGAGCTGTTTGGGGGTGCTGTGCCCTGTGTTTGCTGGGCAGTGGCTTTGGTAGGGGCTGAATTCATGTGCTACATTAGTGCTCACATCTGAATATGAGATGCTGTGCAGGATGTACATCTCAATGAGCAGAGTCACAAGGGCAGCGTGTTTTGACAGATTTTGAGCTCTTCACTGCAAGAAACTGCAGGAAAGGATATACCATACAGCAGATTTTCTTGCTCCCTGGCAGGATTTCATAGACCCTGTGAGTCCTTCTCAGCAGGGTATTCTTGTCTGTACACTGCAAATAAGGCTCCAGGTCACCGGTCTCGTGTATGTGCAGTCTGTGTTTGCTTATACCCAAAAATAGTTTCGTGGAGAAGGGTAGGAGAATAACTTCCTCTTTTTTTCTTTTTCTTTCCCTTTTTTTTTATTTTTTCTGAAAAGTAAAATGGGCTGAATTTGAATTTTTCCATATTGCAAAAGAAAAATAGAGGCATTTTAAAGAATGGCCACATTGTTGGTTAATATGAGCACTATTAAAATATTCTGCTAAGAGAAAGAAGAAGAAAGCAGTTGTGTTTATATTTTTAGCACACAACTTCAGCTTCCATTCTTGGGTTAGAATATGCCCCTGGGTGCCAAGGGACTTACATGTGCAGCTTGGGGCACAATTTAGTTGCAAAGATTCATCCCCAATGTCTTTCTGCCTTTTGTGTGGTAGAAATGAAATGCAAGGTTTTGAATGTTCCCTCTCTGTTTGCTTTAATGGAAGTTACCTGAGCAGGCATTCCTCAGGACCAGAACTCCAGCTCCTGTTGAGTTGTGCCTTCAGTCTAGTGGGGTTGGTTAGCAGCAAGAGTGCAAATGTCAGACAAGGGGTGATCTTTTGGATGGGGTTAGCACTTTGAAATAATTGGGGTTCATATGGCTTCCTTCTTAAATATCACTATGTCATTGCACTGCTTTATACTTACAAAGATCTTTACTTCTATGATCAGTTCAATAAATCAGTGGTTTTACAAAGTTGATCAGGAAATTTGGTCCAAATATCTAGGAAAAAAGCTTTGCTTTTAATTCTCATGTTTTTTTAAGAAAATAAAGAGCAAAGATATCATTAATAAACTAGATTTAAGATTTCTTTTTGTTCAATGAAAATTACTTTTGCCTTAATGAAGTGAAATATTCAGAAAGTACAAGTGAAATATTTAGGAATTAATTTGGGAAAATTTGGTTTGTGACAACAAATGAGGCCCCTATTTTGTAATCCCTTCTCAAGAATATAAGGTGTGGATGCCATAAGAGGTTTTATCTCTTAAGTAGCTTCCCCAAGATTCTGGAGTTTCATTCAGCTTTTGGAGCTATGCCATAAGCATGATTTTATGATTTTGCTGTATTGGTTAACAAAACAACAGTGTGATGCATTTTCTCTGTGTAGCTTTTTCAAGTAATTTATACCACTTATGACAGCAAAGATAGTAAGGATTATAAATTGTAAAGTGTTTTGGTAAGGATTCCTATACATTGGTAATGTGCTTTCAGAATGAAAGCAGCATGCAAATTATGTGTATTATCAGCATACAATCCATTTCAAAAGGGAAGTACCACTGTACTCTGTATGGAGCTCTATTGTTCAGATTGAGAAATATCACTGAGAGTGGATAAGCTGTGTTTTCCCCTTTGTAGACTTTTCTTCTTCAGCTATTAAATAGACCTGTTTATTTTGTGCAGAGCAATACAACTCTGAGCCATCTGCAAGAAAATACGTAAGCCTAAAAAGGACTAGATAACACATTCCCTCCCAAAAGAACATCTGCATTATAATAATAAAATCACTCATATTTTCCAGTGTCATTGTCACTTTTGGCCATTTTTGCTCCACTGACAAGCTGGGGGATGGAGATGTGGAGTTGGCCTCAGCTGCTGTTTCTCCACACCAGCATTGCCTTTGATGTCGCACATGGACAAGGTCAGTTTGCCACAAGGCAACAACATGAATTCATTCCCATTCTTCAGGCATTTGCAATGAGCTAGAACTAGAGTTATCATGGGCTAGATACACTCAGAGACAGCAGAATCATGACAGAGACCTTTGCCTAAATGCCTTCTCCTTTACCCTCTGGAGCACACCTGTGCCATGGCCCACAGCATCCTTGGGCCAAGAAACAAGGTTGTAGCAGGGCTCAGTAACATCCTTCTTTTAGCTTTGCAGGGAGGAAAAGTAACACAAGAGCTCTGTAATAAGGAATGTAAGACTCTCCTTGGCTGTCTGCTGTTCAATATGTGGGCTAGTCCCTTTTGCAAGAGGAGAACTAATCTTCACTGCTGGGTTCCGTCTAAACTCTGAGGAGCAGGTAAGAAGAACTTGCTTGACCAAATGATATTTTCCCCACAGTACAGCTAGCCCAGCTTCTCTGTCAGATGGGTGTAGACACATGTTTTTCCCTGTCTGTAAATAGTATACAGTCAAACTTGTATTAACAGTTCTAGTGGTTTGGTAATATGCTACATATAATGCATGTGTACATGCAAAATTGCATTTCCATGTGGTATTGCTGAGTGTCACTGGCAGTAAATGAAGACAACCATTTTTTACCTCAAAACCCATT